GACAAAAATAACTTTCTGATCAAAAAATGTTCTTTGTTTTTTTTCACTTAGTACTGAACTCTACTGGTTTAGCATTGAGTTAGCGATGAATTAGCGGTGAATTGACGATGATTTTCTGGCGATGATTTAGTGAATTTTTATCCCAATGTAGCGGGATTTTTTCTTTCTTTTCCAGCACTAAACCATTGATAAATTGTTGCTAATTGTTCCGATTTTCGATACGAAAGTAACGGAATATTTGTGCTCGAGGTGGGTTTTTTTTCTTCAGACAAATTTCGACCCTTTAACTAGCCATTTTTGCCGGAATTTTTTAGATCATTCGAAAGGTATTGTTGTCCTTAGCTCAAATTTGAAAAGATTTTTTTCGTAAAGTTACGGGGGTTTAAAGATTGCCATTTGGCCAATTTGGGACAATTAATGCGCGATATATTTTGCCCTATTAACGCGTAAGCGGAGCGTTAATCCTTCTTAGAAATCGTTCCAAATTGGTTGTAAGTAGCTGATTTGCCATAATTGATTTGTTACAAGGATTCTATCCTTATTTACTCTATAGGGCGTGTGGGGGGATGATTTTCATAAAAAGTTTCAAAATTTAGAAAAAAAAAGTTTTCGTTTTTTTAATTTTAAAGGTTGTTATTGCTCCATGAACCTTAAAAGGCAGTCAGAAAATTGAGGTTTCGCCCTGATACGAGCAGTCTTGTTTATCTATGTTTATCAATGAAAATTGGATAATGATCGATCTACGAAATAACACGAAATCATCCAGGAAAGTGTTATTAAAACTGAACAAGACTGCTCGTATCAGGGCGAAGCTCTAAAGGTTTCGACTGCCTTTTAACATTTATAGAGCAGTATTAACCTATGAAATTTAAATGTAATAGGTAAAAAAAATTCTAAAATTTGAACTTTTTTTAATGAAAATCATCCCCCCACACGCCATATCAGGTGTAAAAGGATATATTTCGCTCCTTGTAACAAATCATTTATGCCAAATAAGCATCTTTCAACCAATTTGGAACGATTTCAAGACGAATTAAATCTCCGCTTAAACGTTAATAGCGCGAAATATATCGCGCATTAGTTGTCCCAAGTTGGCCAAAATGGCAATCTTAAAACCCCCATAACTTTATGAAAAATGATCGCAGATCAAAAATTTTTTCAAATTTAGGATCAAGACAACAATACCGTTTGAATGATATATAAAAATTTGTCCTCTTTTTGAGCCTTTTTTGGAAACATTTGACCAAAAAAAAAACTCTTTTTTGCGCGCGCTCTCTCAAAATTTATTAGCGCCGATGGCGCGCTTAGAAAAATTCAAAATGCGATGGGCTATTTAGAAAAATTTTCAAGTCGGTTAGCCAAAAATATATTTCAGTAAAAGTATCAAAGGGGGATTCTCAGAGTCGGCAGGGGATGGTATCACTTCTCCCCTTCCCCACCCCCATGTCCGCTCCTGGCATGATGGTCGATTTCACATATCATTGCAACATATTAAACAATTTTTTCCATAATCGTTTTTTATCCATGAGACTCCGGTTCTCACTTATCCACACTATAAGTACAAGCAAATGATAATTAGGTAATTTTACTTCTCAGCTTGTACTAGAATTTGTTTGAAGCAGTGTCAGTTTGAAAAACTCCTTTGATAAAATTTCAACAGTTGCGATGCACTAAATCAGGATAACAGAATAATGTTTGAGAAAAATTGTAGCAAACTTATAAGCAATCAATTTTGCTTCAATATGCATGTGTTTCCTTCTTCTCGAGCTAACAATCGGTAGGAATTACTACCAAAAAGCTCAGGTTGTTTCACATGGTTATTCGTCTGTTAATAATAATAATATCCTTTCTGATTAGTTATAAAAGTTAAGCAAAAATTGATCAACGCGTATTTACGCCTTTGGAAGCCAAAAAGTTCACAATGTTTTGATACCATGCATCTTATTCAATTTTCAAAATGATCCATTTTTTTCATTCCGTGCCCAACTTATATAGTAGTAAAAAAAATTCCAAAAATTAGGATTAGGTCTTTTAGGTTCGATTTTACCAAAAAAGCAGCCAAATTTCTCAATCAAAGCTTATGAAGAAGTAAGCCGTAGTTGAGTTGCCAGTATTAATAATCAATAAAAACGGAAAATTTGTGCTCGGGGTGGGTTTTTTCTTCAGACAAGTTTCGTTTTTTTAACTAGCCATTTTTGACGGAATTTTTATATCATTCAACCAGTAATGTTGTCTTGATCCCAAATTTGAAAAGATTTTTGACCTGTGATCATTTTTCATAAAGTTATGGGGGTTTAAAGATTGCCATTTTGGCCAATTTGGGACAATTAACGCGCGATATATTTAGAGCTATTAACGTGTAAGCGGAGATTTAATCCGTCTTGAAATCGTTCCAAATTGGTGGAAAGATGCTTATTTGCCATATATCAAAAATCATTATTAATAACAGCCGAATAACCATGTGAAGCAACCTGAGCTTTTTGGTAGTAATTCCTTGTGATTGTTAGCTTGAGAAGAAGGAAACACTTATAAGTTTGCTACCTAATTATCATTTGCTTGTACTGATACTGTGGATAAGTGAAAACCGGAGTCTGATGGATAAAAATCGATTATGGAAAAAATCGTTTAATATGTTGCAATGATATGTGAAATGCACCATATCAGGCGAGGACATAGCGGTGGGGAAGTGATACAATCCACTGCCGACTCAGAGGGTCCTTCTTTTGATACTTTTTCTGAAATCAATTTTTGGCTAACCGACCCTAATGTTTTTCTAATTACCCCATCGCGTTTTGAGATTTCTAAACGCGCCATCGGCGCTAAAACAATTTTGAGGGAGCGCGCGCAAAAAAACGGTTTTTTGGTCAAATGTTTTGAAAAAGGGCTCAAAAATTACGTTTTTTGCTAGGATTCTGGGAGCGCTCGCAAACGGAATTTGGTCGACCTGGAAAAAGCGACCGACATTTTTTTTAAACCCGTTCGATTCTACCGCCCTTTTACCCTACAGCTTTATCTTCAACCCTCTCAGTTCCTTCCTTTTCCAGTTAAACCAACCCTCAGGCTTGCCGTGCCCGCACTTTCTGTCATCCAATTGGAATATAGTATTCATGAAACCGAAGGAAACGAAAGATAAAAATATATTGTTTTTTAACAGTTTAGATTGATTCAGATTTATCAAGCAATCGGTCATTCGTTGCAAACGTGAGATGTGAGGGGTGCAAGCGTTAGGGGTCAGCTTCTAAAGAGACCTTCATGGACTTAAACGGTATTAGTGACGACAAAAAAGGGTGAAAAAATGAAAGTCTTAAAATACTTGTAAGAAAAAACTGCAAGAAGAAAGATAAATAATGCAATGTGGCACTGTTGTTAAAATTTTTTGCAATCTCTTAAGAGTAATGATGTAGTGAGTACTCTTATGTAGGTTTTGCTATTTTTTTTCAGTGAAAAGTTCAATTTTGTCTTTTCGCGATGATTTTTTATAGTTCAGTGCATTTCTATTGTTAACAGGAAGGCATACTCCACGGTTGAACAGCAAATTTGTAAAGGCCATGAAAAACGTGATAGACTTCTAATTTCGAAAATGGAAATTAATTATCAGATTTCCCAGCGAAATAAAAATTTTGTTTTTTGATCCAGTTTTCTCGATTCGTTGATTTTCACAAAAAAAATTGTTCCTCATAAATTGTTCTACAAAATCAAAGAGTTTTAAGGTCATCTCTTGTTTTCTTCGAAATTCAAAACTTGAAGATTTTTGAAAAAGCAAGTCGTTTTTTCAGTTTCCTTGCGTTCGTTATTCTTCAACTTTAAGTTGGCTATTTTGATTATAAAACATTTTATTTGACTATGTTTGTTTACAATGGATTTGATTGGAGCGTTCAACAGTGCCGAAGTATACAGAGCCATAACGAAAAAAGTGCTTAACAGTTCCGAAATTTGATGCTTTTCGGCACTGTTGAACACTTTTTAATTATCTGCACTGTTTTACTTCGTCACTGTTGCTCTGCCCCGATTTTTTTTGATTTGACAAAAAGCAAGATAATAATCCATTATTAATAAATTGTAATTTTATAAAAACTGACAAAGAAAACAATATAATTAAATGTCTAAAACAACTCGTTAAGAGTTTTCTTGCATATAGAAACAATGTTATAAGGAGCGAATCTTATGACCTTTTTATCGACACGTCTCTTTTGATACTATCACCAGCTTGATGTACAATAATGCAACTTTCCCTCTACTGAAATATGGCTTAAAAAATACAAGAGTAATTGCTGTAGCTAATTCCAAATACTACCAAAAGAGAGAGATTTTGGCCGTTGATGCTTTTAAATTTTATATGGGGCTCCTCACGCTCCCATTTAATCACCCTGACATTAATGATTCTATTTCAATTTGGGACGACAAAAAAAAGGTTTGAAAAGTATGATTAAAAGTTTACCCAGTCACTTTCTGACAAATATATAAAAGAAAATCGTCGTTTTTTCTCTGAATCAAATGTGAGTAATAGCGATGTTATACTCGAATAAACATTTATGTATTTTAGACTCCTCAACTGACTATCAGAACTTCTTCAAAAAAAATTCAGCAACCGAACGCGCAAGACGAATCAGGATACCAATCGAACTCGCCAAACTTCAAAAATCAATCACAAACTAGATTACATTTCAAGCCAAACTCATACAGCAGCGAAAACACTCGGACAAAAAACTCTACGCCTTTTGCTCCAATTTTGTCGATCAAAACCAAGTCAAAGATAAGCCCGGTTTACAAAGACCGACAGAACAATTCACAGACTCAAATCCAAGCTAAAAATATCAATACTGGGTTAAGAATAAACAACCAGTTTGAAAAATCTGCAACCTTTAATTTCGAAAGATTTCAGGAAAAACTGCAAGAAAAAGAAACCTTAGAACACTTAGCTGAAACTCATTTTAAAAATCCTGTCGGAAATTTACCAGTTGAAGACTTTGTCACTGAAGAAAGTCGAAAAGTTTCAATAGTAGAAGCAAATTTAGACAAACTAAGTGAACAGTTTAAAAATTTCACGGGCGAAAATTCGAAACGATTTGAACAACCATTTCAAACGTCTCTGAACCCAATGAAAAATTCTAAAATGACTCTAGAAGAAACCGATTTTGATAGATTTCAAGAAAACCGAAATAAGTTTTGCCCGAGCCCGAGTTATTTAAGAAGCCCGAACGGGTTTTCAGGTCGAGGACACGACTCGTTCTTCATTCATCCCGAAGATAAGTTAACCGAGAAAGGTCTCGCGTCATCGTGGAATCGACCCAGAAATAATTTATACGACGATAACTCGTTCGGATATCCTCACGACTCAATTTCGGATTTCGATTTGAATCAACGAAGCTCAACACCCTTCAACGGAAATATTTCGTCAAATGATTTCTCAATAAGAAGTTCTGATAATTCGGCGATGAACGCGCCTTATAGATCAAGTGCCATTGCCTTGCCATCGCCAAGATCAACTAGAAAAGCTTCCAACACTGATAAAAAACAACCAGTATTTTCATATTTAAACAGTTACGCTTTCACGAAGCCGACTTTAAAAAAAGCACCGAAAGAAGATGATGATTTCGGTTTCTACGTTGACCAGAGTTTTGTGAATGATGGTTTCAATTATAACCGGGCTAGTTATGCTGGATATGATAAATGTGCTGGTTTGAAACTAACAGGCGAAATTGACCATGAGAACCAACATTATGGTTCTAAGGTATGCATGCTTTTTTGCATCTAACAACTGAAACTAACTTCTATTGGGCATCTGATTGAAAAATTTATTTCAAATTTAAAATTGCACTACATGTAAATTTATAACGCATTTTGGAGAAAACGGCAGGTGCCCGTGAGAAAGTGATTGTCTGAAATATCTCCAAACAAAATGAATATTGCATTTTGACAAAAGTTGCCACGCCGCAGACAAAATTTTGTGAAAAAAAAAATTAGCATTACGAGGCCAAACTGCGTTCAAGTGCACTTTTTAAAATAATTTGACAATATTTTGGAGCGTGATTCCCCTCAAATCTAATAGTATAATTGGTGGGAAAAGCGCCTTAATTACATGGACGCCAAAGGCACCTTTCAAAGTTTTTTGGCTCGCCGAACGACCATAAATGAATGTTCAAAACTAGCAAACGGGGACCTCATTGGAAAATAATTAGTCAGAACCCTAGTGGCGTCCTTCCTTCTCCTTCCCTTTATCTCCGGTGTTTTAATTTTTTATCTAAAATTCAGGAAAGTAAAATTATAATTGCCTGATTTTGTTCAATCTGTTTCTTTTTCAGATTGGTCAAAGAGTGAACAATAATAATTTCAAAATGGAAGACGTGAATGCGACCCCTGCCTTTTCGGATATTGACTCGAGTGTGAGCACCCCTCAAAGTATGAACCCACAAATACAGACAGCCGATGATCAACAACACCATCAAACAAATCAACAACCAGCACCACCAGGTAACTTATTTTCATTATTTCAAACAAGTCAGAGAACGTCTGAACACGGACCAGAAAGACTCAAGATTATCACGCATGCTATGTTTAATGGCTGTAAATGCGGTTTTATAGCAGTCATCATTGATAAGTTGGCCTGAAAACAATTTTTTCTAAATTTTTCAATTTAATTTTTTTGATTGACAAAAAAAAACAAATATTTTTCCAAGAGTGTCTGGTAAAATTTGTGGAACCTTAGAATTAACGTTTTTTGTATTTTGTAAAAGAAACTCAGTAGAGGTGTGAGTCCGATTTATAATATCTCGGTATGCGCAGTTGGTGGTCTTTGCTGATTTGGTTTGCAATAATATGCAATGACTTCGACTGCAATTTTTTTTGCTATATCATTTCGGGCACTTTCACTACTACCTAAATTGACCAAAACTATCTTTTTCCATAAAAATTTTAAATAAAAACAACAGTAGTTTAGTGATGTGGCAAATAGCTGGTGTTGGATAATTCACCCTTGTGCTCTGGAAATAAATGATTTTTTTAAAATTGTTTCTTGTTCCGACATATGATAAAAAGTCGAAAAAATGTACCATACGTGCTTTTTTCAATTTAAAAAAATGAAGTTTTTGACAATTCATTTTTGGAAAACAAAAAAATACATTACGTACAATTTTGTTGAATAAGTCGACCGAGAATTAGTCAAAGCAGATCTCAGCGCATTTTCAAGTGTCAATGAATTTAATAAAGATGGGAAAATTCTTAAAATTTGTTCACGCTCCAATTCCTATGCTGGGAAGCGGCGGTGAAGTGGTTACGTCTCCGCCTCATAAACGAAAGATCGGATGTTCGAGGCCCACCATGATCCGTGCTCATTGCTTGAGGATGAGGCAATATTACCCAGCCCAGAAAAATAACCAAAAAAATTGCATGTAGTTCTTAAGCCTGGGCACAACAGCAGTTCGCCGTCATGAGTTGTACAGCTCGTATGTTGGTCCTATCCCTCATGTATAAATGGTCCTAATTCATTTTCCAAACTTAATTTGTAAAGATAAAATATAATTAACCTTTATTTGCCAAAACTCAGTTATGGTAAAATTTACCTTAAGTATTTGTTCATTTTTTTTCAGGTAAAATTCAGACAAGGAGGTTCATCTAAAAATTGCCTCAACTTCATTTTACTTTAGTTCAGTATTTCTTATTTTTTTCTAGGTTTTCCACAAGTGCCCTTACACAGCCCACAACCTGTTACCCAAGCGAATCTTCAGCAGCTGAACCAAATGCACATTCTGCAGGAACAACAACAACAACAACAATTATCCCATCAGCAAGCTAGTGTCGCTGCTAACACAGCCCAAATTGACCAATCACAAGCTTCGCAGCAGAGACATGACGCTATAGCGTCGACCAATCAGCATTCAGAGTCAGGAGTTGACACTTCTTCAATTGACGAAGGGTTTCACCAAGCCGTTTTGGAGTTGGAACGTAAAAAGATGGAACAAACCAAAGTCAAACCACCCCTGGAAAAAGATTTACCTGGAGATTTCCAATCAGCTCTCAAAAATTTTGGTGAGCCAATTAAATTTGGCAATACGCAAAACAAGTTCAACACTAAATCACCATCTAACGAATCTTTGCAATTTCGACCAATCAAAATGAGCGAAGAGAAACTGAAACGACTTGAAACGAAATCTTGTGAAAACTTGGACCAGGTTGGCAACGATTCAGAAGATTTGGAAAAACACCCGCAAAACTACGACGAAGCTAGGCAAAAATACGGATTGGCTGTTGCAATGAAACGCCGTACCAACGTACCGGAACCCATTCAAGCAAATCAGAGTTTACAAGAGGCAGGCTTGGAGACACAGAAAAGTCCAGTTGACTACAAAGATGCCCGGAATCGTTTCGGAGAAGCAGTAAAAATGAAGCAAGTTCCAGGGACACCTCCGAACCAGGAGTTGAAAGCTAACGGATCCTCTGAAATCCTAATGCCTTCATTGAGAGCAACACCGAAACCAGAACCAGGGACCCCGCCTAACCAGGAACCAAAAAGTTCCGAGTATGCCATGCCGACCCTGCGGGCAACTCCAAAACCAGACCCGGGAACCCAGATCAACCAGGAGTCTAAAAGTTACGAGTATGCGATGCCGACGTTAAGAGCTACTCCCAAGCCTGAAGTCCCTCCTAATATAGAATCAAAGGGATCCGAGATTGCCATGCCAACGTTAAGGGCAATTCCAAAACCAGAACCCGGATGTCAGGCAAATATAGATAGCGCAGGATCCGAGTATGCTATGCCGACCTTGAGGACAACCCCCAAACCAGAGCCTGGATTCCAAACCAGTCAAGAATCTAAGAGCTCTGAAATTGCATTGCCAACGTTGAGAGCGACGCCAAAACCAGGATCATTGAACGTTACTGAAGATGGTGAGGTGTCAGATGATCCGAAAGTAAGAACCCCAGTTGATTTCGAAGATGCTGCGAAACGATTCGGTGAACCCTTGAAGAGAGCGATTCCTAAATTCGAACCTACAAACGCGAATGCTCAAGTTTCGAAATCAGAAGAATCAACGCCGTTCAGTAAAGAAATATTAAGACCCACGGGTAGTGCTAAAACTCAGACTGAGATCGATGATGCCCAGAAACAACCCGGAAATCAACCCTTGCCGAAGAACTACCAACAAGCAAGAAAACTTTTTGAAGCGACTCCTGAAAAAGTATCAGAACAATCGAACAACGGAAACGGACAAAGCTCCTCGAAGTTAGATTCGGCTCAGCCGAACGCCCCAGCCAATATTTATTTGCCCGGATACCAGCATAAACTAACTTGGGGTGATGCTAGCGGAATGAAAAACCCTCCCAAAGCATACCAAAATCCCAATTTTGATGTTAATGCAGCTGAACAACAAAACTTTAGTCAGATAAACTCGACTGCTGAACAACAAGTTTTTCAACCTCAAACTATTGATGCTTTGCGTGAACAAACTGTTTCAGCTTCGAGTGGTGGTGAAATTACTAACCAGGCGTCTGAAATACCAGAAGCTATTACTAACTTATCCGAGGCGGAGAAAAATGAGTTGATCAATGCGTTTCTCCAGAAAGAGAGCGAGATTCAAAGCATGTGAGTGTTTTTAACTACATATTTTGCATCTAATTCATAGTCATAATCCAATTGCAACTGACCAAAAAAGAGAAAAAAGTCGCACGTAGTTGCCTTAACTATCAACTTTATCTATGTATTCTCAGCGGTGTCCAAAAAATTATTCAAACAAATAACTTAAATTAACCCAAAAAATTTTAATAAGAAAAAAACATTTAATTCAATAGCGATGTTTACAGATGAATCAATCAGTCTTTGAAGTCAATTTAATTTAAATCAAATAAACTGTGATTTTTTTGTATGATCATTTTAGTCGAACAGTTAACCAATTTGTCTCTTTATTTTTTTCTTCAAAGTGCTCTTATCAGGTCAAAGCCTTGAAGTTCCCATTGATTTTCAACGCATCTGAAAGAACTTGACTAAAACAAAAGCTTTACAATCTTTTTCAGCTCCCAATAGTTTTTAAATACTGCAGTAGGCCTTAATAAATAAAGTAATTCAGCGTATTTTTGATTGATCTCAAAGAACTCCAAAAATTATTATACAGTTCGAAAACATAGACTTTATAGCACTTATTAATTATAATAAAACTTCACTATTAAGGAAATTCAACAGTATGAAAAGAAGTTTTTCTACTGCAATAGTAACTTCTCTATCCTTCAAGACTCAAGAAATGCCCTAAAAAACCGGGGTTAACCAAACCGGAGTTAAGTTGCTGATCTGAAACTCTCAATGACGGAGAAATTGTAGCCATACAGAGTTTGCATACATTTCTATACGTACAAAAAATCTAAGATTTCTATTGGAAACCCATTTCTACCATGTAACATACAATTTCAATTTTTTTTATAGCTTATTATAATAACATTGTTGTGTTCATAACCATACAGAAAACTCCAAGACCGTTCTAAAGTAAAAGTCATGAGTCAAAGTATTATATTTTCTACAAAGTACATGAAAAACACCAAATTTTAATGTTTGGCTAAAACCTTTTGATACTTCTGCTCAACAAGAAGTGAATGTTCACAGTTATTATTGTTCCGACTTTCGATACGAAAGTGACGTAATATATGTGCTCGGGGTGGGTTTTTTTTCTTCAGACAAATTTCGACTGTGATCATGTTTTGTAAAGTTAAGGGGGTTTAAATATTGCCATTTTGACCAATTTGGGACAATTAACGCGCGATGTATTTTGCGCTTTTAACGCGCGAGCGGAGAGTTAATCCGTCTTAGGAATCGTTCCAAATTGGTTGAAAGAAGCTTATTTGCCATAATTGATTTGTTACAAGGAGCGAAATTTATCCTTTTGTGCTTTGTATGACGTGTGCGGTAATGATTTTCAAAAAAATTCAAATTTTAGAAGAAAAAAAAATTTTCATTTTTTTCTTTCAATTAATTATTTAATGTTATTACTGCTCCATAAACCTTAGAGGGCAGTCGGAACATTCAGGGCTTCGCCCTGATACGAGCAATCTTGTTAGTTTATAAAACTTTTTCTTTGAATCTACGATATGGCTGGTTGCACAATATATGTAAACAGAAGCTATTTGATAGGTTACAACTATAAAACTAAACAATTCTTTGGTGACTAGACGAATTTTATTTTCAAACTGTTTTGAAATACGTACCATAAATATCCAACATTTAGATTAGCTTGGTCAATTTTTCCTAATTGTTTTCTAATGATTGTTTTTGCCTGTACGATAACAATTTTTTGTCGATATTTGCGTCAAAAGCACAATTAATTACACAATTATGTTGAGAAGACTTGGAATCTTTTGTATGGAAGTGGCTCAACCCTTTTCTCACTGAAAACTTTAAAATTACCCATATAAAATATAGGCAATCTTCATGTTCTGGAAAATAGTTGTTTATTGTAATCATAAAGTTTTGTTGAGTACCCATTTTTATGCACTAAACGGTCAAAAAAAAACAAAAAAACTATGTCAAACTATTCCTGTTTGCAAAAACTCAACACACACACACTGACTACCATATTTTGTATACCTAAAACAAATCTTGAAAAAAATTAATCTATTTTGTCTGATTAAAGTGGAAGTTATATTAACTAGAAAACAAAAAGAGTGAACCAAATTAGATGTTGATATTTCTTAAAGCATAACTTATGCAAAGAAGTAGTCAATATTTTCATATAATCAGGCTTTTTGGATTTATAAGGGAAATTTATTAAAGCGAAGCTTGCATATGCGGTGAATTTTTGTTGAACATGTGGTAAAAATTTCTAAGTATGCACAAAAAATTAGATTATTCAAATTCAGTATGAAGTAAAAAGAAACAAAATTTTACAAAAAATTTAAGGCCTGAGTTTTAAGCGAACTTTCGTCGTTAAGGCGTTTAGTCGAGAAAAAATGCCAATTAATCTTTGACTGGCGAGCGTATTCAATTGAGCAAGTGCAAATTTTACAGAATAAAAATTACCCGTCGGTATAAAATTCGTTTCGATTTTGGGGGTGAATTGCTCTTTGCTGGGCCGAAAGGGTTGAAGAACGTTTTAGGTTTGTGGCAACGGTACAATTAAATTCGTCAGTATTACCGGCCATCGCCGAGTTTCTAAATGATATAAGCTTCTGAAAATGAAATAAAATAAAATTTGTTAGTAGAAGGTAAAGAAAGAAAACAAAGCACATTATTATATGAATTAAAACTAAATTAGCTTCACTCTCTTTGTATAAGAATTAGGGCAAAATATGCGGGTCATTTTGCTCTTATATTACCAAAAATCTTGGCTGAAATCTTATTTGAAATGCCTGACCAAGTTGCTGAAATTTGTTCCGGTCGTTCAAGGTAAAAATGTTTACAGAATCATTTAGTGCATAAAACTTCAAGAATGATTAAAAAAATCATTATAAATAGTTGATGTCTTGCGAAAAGTAGAATTATTGTATCTTCGGTTGTACAGTTATTTATATATTGCTTGACCTTTAAAATTTCCAAAATAAACAAAAAAAGCAAGATAAACAATTCAAAAAGGTTTTGGATTGTTTTTGTACTTTTTGATTAGTCGAAGTTTTTCGCTGCTTCCACCTTTTGCATTCAAAAGTTACACAATAGTACTAGTCTGTCAAACGCAATTTATGAACGAAGCATGACTCCAGGAAAAAACTGTTCAGCTATATTCATTGCCATTCAGAACAAAAAAGTTTTGAGTGTAAAAAATACGAAATTATTCTTAAACTTAAAGTCATGCTATTTTTTTTTGGGTTTATTCGTTCGTTTTTCGATTATTTTTTGGAATAGCGATTAAGAAACATACATATTGACCCAGTTCTATCTGAGTGAAGTAAATTAAAAAAAAATGAACAAACCTTGAAATTTTAGGAGCTTTGATGTTTTATAAAACTTTCAAGAATTGCTTTTTTCGGTGTCATTGATTTTTTTGATTTTGTTACACTGTTTCAAACTTTTTGGTGGCTGTTTTTTAATGGGTCGGTAATCAAATTAATTTTAGGACAACAAATGATTAATCGTTTAAATTGAAAATAAAAGTTGCTTGCCTTCGGTTAGGCTTACTTTCACCTTGTTAAATTTTTGAATTTAATTTTTTCGAAAAATTTTGACCAAAATCTAAATTACAACCAACCAAATTTGATATTTTTTCAAACTGCTCTTGGTTTAGCAATATTACTGTTAATTTAGGTTTTTTAACAGCTCGAAAAAAGAAATGGCTGGCGCAAAAGCGTAATCGGAATGCTCTTTCGCCATTTGCCAAAAAGATCTCAGAGGTCAGCAGTGTTGCAACGCAGCCTTGTAACTTTTTTGGGACAAGTTTTGAAACATTTCCTCTAGTTTTCAAATTATTCTTAATTGATCTGATTTTTGAGTTGTCTTCGACCCAAGCAAGCTCTGAAAAATAACCGAATATTTAGTTCACCAAATGATACGTAAATAAATGCAACATTATGAGATGTAAATAGGGATTTAGTTAATTTTTTCCTGTTCTTTCAAGATGGAAATTTTTGACTTTTCATGCAGATTGAATGCGAGTTGCTCCTTTCTTGAAACCAAATTTAACATTTAAGAGTTCAACACTTTTCAGGCGCAATATTCAAACAAGCCCAGTCGGTTCTCCCTACTCGGCATTGAGAGGTGCACTGGGCCTAAAACCCAAATCAGCCTACCAGCATCAACAACAGCCAGAACCAAGTGTCCAACAATACGGAATAGTCCAGACTAATAACCAAGCTCATCAGGGGATGACTTCGATTAGTAACAACAATAGATTTAGATCGAAGCCGTAAGTAGAAACTACTAATCACTGTGAAAAATAAAATTGTATTTTTTCAGTTGGATCAAGGTTGCAGATCACGGTTACATATTTCTGCTTGAAGTATTCCAAGTTATGATAAGATTACCTTCCCTTCCATCAGAGTGTCTTATAAACACAGCCAGAATTAAGAAGCGGGGATAGGGGTTGGATGTGAGGTAGTTAAATAATTACAAAATAGTTCAATTGATGAAACATTTTAATATGCAAAACATACTAAAAGCAATTATATGTGGCACGAAGGAAAAGATTTGCACTTTTGTTCAATTTTTCTGAATCAGAGAAGAAGTTGGCAAGCAATCGGGGATGAGTAAAAGTGCTGCACTCCGAATGTTCTATTCGCTCCCGCCACCCGAAACAGATGACTGAAAACCAGAGGGTAAAATAGCACTGCACGACTAAACTAAAATTGACACCCAAGTGTGAACTTTTAGAACTAACTAAATATCAAAAACTCTGTAGAAGTTCTTTTGTCTAATTCATCTATTGTTTCTGCTCTTATCAAACATAGTTAGCTGCGTCCCCCTCTATAAAATACGGTAACCGCTCAACACCCAATATTTTGGTACTATTTTACCAAATCATTTTTTAGCTGCGACAATAACTCTTGAATTTAACAAAGGACCGAGTACATACTACTAATGGGTGGGTAGGGGGGAGGGAGGGCGACAAACATTTCATTTTTCTCCTCGAAATTTTCAAAAAGTTTCCAAAAACAGTCCAATTCACTTGAACCTACCAATTGATACTTTTATTTTAAAAGTTACTGCACGTTTTAGTTCGTCTGTTAGTTTCACTTTTTTGTGCTTATTGGCAGCAAAGACATCATACTTACCAATTTTCAGATCACTTTTTGTTAAAGTTAGAACTATTTTTACACCACATCTCTGTAGCCTAATAGTTTTAACCTGTAAATGATATCTTCCATAATTAAGGACTTATTTCAAATTCTCTATTTAGATTCCGAGGATGAGCTGAAGGAAAAATAGTTTGATGAATTGACCCTTTGTGAGCTTGCAAAGGAGCAATTGAACGTCTGAGACCTGTCAAAGAAAGACGCATACATTCGATGCTTTTCTATTTATATTTCACGGCCTAATTTGAATTCATTAATTTGTACTACGGGAAATTCGACTGAGAGGCAATCTAACAAGAATGCTCGTATCAGGGCGAAGCCCTGAATGTTCTAAGTGCCTTTTAAGATTTATGTAGCAGTAATAACATCAAAAAACTAAACGAAAAAAATCTAAATGAACTTTTTTTTCTCTAAAATTTAACAAAATTTTTCATGAAAATCATCCCCCCACACGCCATATAAAGTACAAAAGGATAAATTTCGCTCCTTGTAACAAATGAATTATGGCAAATAAGCTTCTTTGAACCAATTTGGAACGATTTCTAAGACGGATTAACTCTCCGCTTACGCTTTAATAGCACGAAATATATCAGGCGTTCAATGTCCCAAATTGGCCAAACTGGCAATCTTTAAACACCCGTAACTTTACGAAAAATGATCACAGGTAAAATATCTTTTCAAATTTAAACTCAGGACAACAACACCTTTCAAATGATATAAAAAATGCCTCAAAAATGGCTAGTTAAAAAGTCGAAATTTGTCAGAAGAAAAAAACCCACCCCGAGCACAAACATTCCGTCACTTTCGTATCGAAAGTCGGAACAACTAGACAATTTCTAAACATTATACCGCCTTGCAGTCAAGCTATCCATTTTTGGCCGGATTTGTTGGAACGTCTTTGTCCAAAAGCAATCCTAATCTTGCTCATAATTCTGGAGGGCTTTTCTCATGTGCGAAGGACCGAATGCGCGAAAAAACTGCAATAGATCGAAAACAAGATTAGCTGAAAGTCAATTTTTGAAAAGAAGCAATTGCCATTCAATTAAATTGAACTAAATGAACAAGCAACTGTTTGCTTCTTTCATTACGAAACCCTTGAAATATATTTACTTTCTGTCCATTTTTTATATTACTGAAATCTGATTGGCTGATTTTTATTTTTGGGCAGTCGGTCCTTCGCGCATGAGGGATTCCACTATTTTTTTAGACTCAATAAACTTAATTCAAATTCTGTAAATCAAACATATTAGGAGATCAAGTTTACTGTATACTCCTGACATTGTCTGACGATTTAATAATCAAGTTTAGAGTAAATATTTAAGATTTACTTAGGAAAAATCATTGAATGGTGATAAAATCTTATCAATAACCTTTAGGGGTATTAAAAACGAAAAGCGTAAGCTCAAATGGAACTCCAAACGGGTCGCACATACTAATCAGAGAAGAAATGCTGCCATTGTTGAGCCAATTGAAAAATACAAGGTGCAGTCGAGTGCTATACCGTATTATGGCCCTTTTAATATTCATGACTGGATGGCATTTTTAAAGCAAAAATATTTTCTTAAAATTATACCGGCAAAATTGAAGCTGGCTGTTCAAAACAATGACTCAGGAAAAGTTTTTGAACCACAAAAATCCAAACAATTAAAATTGAATACCGGGGTAAAAAAAACAGCCGACTCGAAATTTTATTTCACTCCTATTAGATTTTACTCTATTTTACTATTAGATTTAATTTTATTTTACTATTAGATTATTAGATTTTACTTCTAGCAACAAAGCAATTATGGCAAATCAGCTTCCTTTAACCAATTTGGAACGATTTCTAAGAAAGATTAAATCTCCGCTTACGCGTTAATAGCGCGAATTTATCGTGCGTTAAGTGTCCCAGATTGGTCACAAAGGCAATCTTTAAAGCCCCCTAACCTTTCGCAAAATGATCACAAATGAAATATTTTTTCAAGTTTAAGCTCAGGACAAAAATACTTTTCAAATGAAATTTAGAAAAATTCCGTCATAAATGGCTAGTTGAAAAGTCGAAATTGGCCTGAAAAAAAAACACACCGAGGACAATTATTCCATTACTTTCGTTACGATCATTACGAGTCAAAGTGTGCATTTTGTGATTTTTAAGCAATTTTTGCAACAAGCAAAAATTATATTTGTCGCGGAATCCGTAGCATTGCTATTTTTCTTTCGTTTTCCCTGCTATTTCAAAATCCTTGGACAATTAGCTAAAACACTGTATTGCTCAAAATTGCTCCAAAAACATGAGACTTTGCAAAATCTGCAACAAAATGTGTGGAATCCGAAACCAGTTTGTGGAATCCATGAGCAAACAATAATATATATGCTTATACTTATGCTGTCGCGGAATCCGTAACTGTAAGTAGAACTTGCAAATTGTAAGCGGATTCCGCCAATTGCGAGCGGTATCTAAAAATTGTGAGCGGAGTCCTCTTAAGTTTTCGGAATCCGCTTAAATTTGCTTAATTCGCTTACTTTTGCGGAATCCGGAACTATTTACTATATTCGCTAGCTGCGGAATCTGAAACAAAGATATGTGCTGAGAAATTTACGTTAGAGTCCACTGAAATTTTGAAAAGGAATCCGTTTACATTTGGGAGCATATCTCAAGACTAGAATCCAGGATCATACAGACCCAAAATTGTGCGCCTATCCAGTGCACAGTTTGGCCTCGTAATTATAGTCGAACAAAAACAATGATATACTAACCTGGCTAACTCCATGCTAAAGGTAATTATCTGATCAAATATATAAAGCACAAAATGAATCATACAAGCATTGGTTATCCACGGTCGTTTTTGTTTAGGGACCAGGGACACCCAGATCACTTCTTGTAGAAATTTTTCATAAATAAATCAAAACTTGATGAATGCTTCCTTCAATTCAACAACAAATTGTTTATGTATTATACTACCAGTATTATAAAAGATGAATAACATGATCAGTATCCAGCATGTTTTCACAAAAAAACGAATTGCTATTTGAGTAATCGGCGCCGATTTTATCCCAATTGTGTGTAGCTTAAAGGTAATTGGTGAAGATGGTTTCCCAATTGCTGACAAATTGATCATAATTGGTACCAACTGCTAATAATTTCACCCATTTGTTTCTGTTTTTAGCGTAACTTCACTTTACACTTGGTTTGTACCCGATTGCTTATATTTTTGGCGTATTTTATCCAAATTGCTGATTAGTTTCTCTTAATTTGTGGTCATTTACACGTAATTTTTGCCAATGATTGATGTTTTTTTCCCTCTCGTTGGTGTTTTCGAACTGTTATCTGAAGTTTGGTTACATTCTCTACCTTAGTAAAAAATGAATAATTTTGTTTTACTTTTTTTGGTTATCTTTGCTTAAACTGAATAAAAATTAAAACACCCTTTTTAACTAATCGATAGTTACTTGGCATATTGTTAGTTTACTCCGCAAACTTCTGCTGCTTGATATCATTGAGGCAGTATTTGGAGGCACAATGATTTAACTATATTTTACTGGATTCTACAACAGCAAAAAATCAACAATAATCAAAGGAGAGAAAACCTTTAACGAAATTTGCCACAAACAGGAAAAGTTTAGAATGGTGAGTTAAGTTCTATGTTTAACTCATAGAGTAATTTCAGATAGAATACACCATCTGCTCGTCACGCTATCTCATTTTCGGCCGGATAGATTCGTGCAACTTCTTAGTCTAATACCGATCTTAATCTTACTCTTTTATCTGCTAGTCTCAATTAGTCTCAATAGATCTAGAGTATACTGGTTCATTGCGAGTAGGTCTCTTGGAGAGGCAACTAAGTTCTAAACTAAATTCAAATCTTTATGGTGCTGAAATTACAAGTATTTTCAGCACTTACAAATAAGTGGGTTGTTAGTTAGATGGATCATGATTGGATAGTATGAAATATTTTATAGTAGTAAAATATCCAATAATAAAACAAAGTTTAGATCTGGTTCCACCCATACGGGGTTAACAGAATTTTTGAATCTTTTATCTTCTATCTGTAATTAAAGATGGATGATGATATTTGTATTTGGCGAGCATCATTTCTTGTTCCGTTCTTGGAGAAGAAAACTCAAGGAAGCTGGAATCGTCGACATGAAGTTGTTAGTTGTTGTTTGACAATGACTGTGACCTCCAACGAAATCAATCAGATTTTAAAATGGTTTGTTATGATTGTTCGTCCTGCTTCGGCGGAGGACTGGTTGTGTTTCGTTCTTATCTGGGAGTGGCGTGAAGATTGAGTTTGGAGGGAAAGCCTTGTAACTCGGATCTGTACGTATACTTGAACATCGAGGTGGTCATTGGTCTGATTCAATGAAGTCCTTTTCTGCGAAGTCAAGTCGTACTTCAAATCGTATTGAGTTGTGATTGTGAGCGTCATATCGGTTGTGTTTAGCCTTTCTGTAGATTGAGCGTGAGGGGGTCGTCTAGTTTCTTGATGCTCGTCTTTGTGGTCTTGTATGATCTATATACTGCATTATATGATTTACATTTTATAAAATTTTTGTTAATTTGATTTTTAGTTATGATTTCTATTAGTTATTATCGCAAAAACATGTTAATTTTAGTTCTGTTATTTTTAAGAGTTACTCACCCTGAGCACCTTTTGTCAAAAGAATGGAGTGGTCACAAAGCGTGGATGTAGCACGGTGGGTTAGGCCGGCTATAGAGCATGCTCAGGACGTCCTCTTCTGGTGAATTATGCCAGGAGTGAGGGTATGATTGCATGCTGGTTTTTTGTGGGGTCCTGTTTTGTGTTAACGTTTTAGGTTATACTGTTTCTGGTTTTTTCCTTTTGTTGTTTTGGTTGTGTCCTTTTCTTAAAAATCAATTTGTTTGTTTGGGTTTGTCTTGCGACTTTTTGGTGTTTTATTATTTCTTTTTTAGACTTGTCAGTAGTCTTCAAAAGAATAAATTATTCAGTTCTTAAGCCGGCTTGGGTACCGTTGGTTTTCTTTTCTGAGTCAAGCTTTTAGTTTGTGGTTTATGGCGTTTAGTAAGCTGCGTTGGTTAGTTTAGGTTATTATATAATTCCTTTCCAACCGGATTAAGAGAAAGTGGAAAATTGTTGTCGCTTGTTTGAGTTGTTGTTAGTGAAAGTTAAAATTTGAATTCATTATTTTAAACTATTCGTCGTGGGCGAGCTGTTCGATTTTGGATAGAATTCTTGTGCGAGTGAATAGAAAGAAGCGATTGAAAAGGTTAGTATTGCTCTCTTCTTGTATAAATTTA